AAAAGCGACTATATACATTGCTTGGTTCATTTCATGACATTTTGTGGACACAAGCAGTATAGAGTCCATTATTTTATGCAAGAACTTGAAATCTTTAGGTACAGACTTCGTGGTACGACCCATTGAAGTATCAATATTGGGGATTACTGGACACGGACTGCTCATACGAGGATGTTGTGAATTGCTAATAAGAGATGATAATTCTTCATACATACCTTGTGAATTTTTAGTTAGCGAAACAGGACTGCTAATATGGGGTTTAAGAATTTGAAAAGGCTTAAAGTGGAATTGTCCTTCCTAGTTTCTAAAGAAAATTCTGATACTTTACTTAAAGATTTGATAGCTATGTGTGCTAAGTGCAGTGGAGGTATGAAAATTCAGCCTATAAAACTTCAAGTACAGGGTGATCCAGTCTTTCTTAAAAGACGAATAATTCCTTATGGTCTTCGAGAAACAATATATAAGACATTAAACGTATTGTGTGCGAAAGGCATAATTGAACCAATTCAGTCTTCAGCATGGGGTACTCCTATCGTTACGCCACTGAAGTCGGACGGCAAGACCCCTAGAATTTGTGGTTATTATAGATTAACTTTGAACTCCTGTTTGTTGAAGCAAACGTGCACGACGGTAGAGGCTGAAGATATTCTAAATCGACTTCATGGTTCTTAAGTGTTCTCGAAAGGTGGCCTAAAATATGCTTATCTTCAAATTCCTTTAGATGAATCTTCATCTATTTTGACGACAATCAACACTCCTTTTGGTCTGTTCAAATACAATTCCCTTCCATTTGGTCTAAGTTGTTCTTCAGCCATATTTCAGGAAGTTATGAATAAAGTAGTTAGTGGTCTTCAAGGTGTTGAAGTTTATCAAGATGATCTCATTGTTCATGGTTCTGATAAGGTAGTTCATGACCACAGACTTATTGCTTTATTGCGTCGTTTAGTTGAGAAGAATATTACAGTGAATCCAAATAAGTGTTCACTTTGTGTATTTAGTTTTGAATGCCTTGGATACCCAGTTGATGGTAATGGTTTTAGACCAGATATGAAGCGACTAGCTCCACTGACAAATGCACCGTCTCCGAAAAATCTTACGGAATTACGTTCACTGGTGGGTGCTCTTCAGTATTACTCCCGTTTTATTCCTAATTTTTCTTGTCGTGCAAATTGTTTATTCAATATTTTGACATCCAATTCATTCAAATGGAGTGAGGAACAAGAGTCGTGCTTACGAAGTCTAATAAAGTTTCTTCAAAGTGATGCTGTTCTTCGAACGTACTCCCCTAATGCACATTCTGTGCTTATTATTGATGCATCACCTGTGGGAATTAGTGCAGCTTTGGAACAGAAAGGTAGACCAGTCATTTGTGTCCCACGCAAACTTACTGTTACTGAACAAGGTTATTTACAGACTTAGCAAGAAGCATTAGCTGTGTTTCGGATTGTTAAAAGACTTCATAATTATTTATTCGGAAGGAAATTCACTATTGTTACGGATCATGAAGCTTTAAAGTTTATTTATCATCCTGAAAAATCCTTAGCACGTTCCTCAGCTGCTATGGTTCAACGATGGAGTATTGCTTTGAGTGCATATGACTATACGGTTCAGAGCAGAAGTGCCAAACAGATTCAACATGTTGACTACATTTCTCGACAGTCATTACAAGATAGACCTATTAATACTTCGGATTGTTTGTTAGTGCAACCTTTACCAGTGAGACGTTCAGATCTCATTAGAGAAACTCGTAGATATTTTGGATGTATACTCAGTGCTATACGGAAAGGCTGAACTGCTAATTTGAAACGTAGATTTCCTATATATTTTTCAAAGCAGGATGAACTATCTACCACTCCTGATGGTATTCTGTGTTTAAATGATCGTGTTGTCATTCCTCCTTCATTGAGTAAATCTGTTCTTGAAGATCTTTATAGTGGTCATTTAGGTGTTGAGAAAATAAAGTCCCTGGCAAGGCTCACATGTTGATGGCCAGAGATAAATGCAGATATATGTCGTACGGTAAACAATTGTGAGAAATGTCATTAGTTGAAAAATCAGCCAGTATTGTCTGAGGCCTGGGAGATAATTCATGCTGACTATTGTGGTCCATTTCTTGGTAAATACTATGCACTTTTTCAGAGTGGCCTGAAGTTTTTTCACAACTTCACCAAATTCTGACTTCACAATCCAAGCATCAAGAAAAGTGTTTAGTCGAGAAGAGGTTCCTATGGTGTTAGTGACTGATAATGGCTCTCATTTTGCTGCAGATGCAGTCACTACCTGGTTGAACGGTATAGGGTGCAAACATCTATTTACTGCTCCTAGACATCCGTGTTCTAATGGCCAGGCAGAGAATTTTGTCAGGACATTAAAGACTGCTATTGATTCTATAGCCGCCTCAACATTTAATGAGCTGGAGAGGGGAGTAGATACCTTTTTATTGCAATACAGAAATGCCAGACATTCGGTGACGAAGGAGACTCCAGCAAAGCTACTGAAAGGAAGAATTCTTCGGTCGAGTATGAGATGTTTGTAGTCTGCAGAAGTTACATAATGTCGAGGAAATGATCTTCGACCATCAACGAGTATTGTTCTGAAGAATGTCGGAAAATCGATGGTGCGAATTCTAGACATCAATGACTTAAGTACACACAGTCGACACGTAGATCAAATACAATTTCAGGAACCAGGCGAGTCTGTTCCAATTTCCGTTGTTGATTCTAATGCTAATGAGCACATTCTAGATAATACAGAATCCTTATCCAATACAATGTCAGACAGACTCAGGATGAATTTGAGAAGAAGACGTACGATTGATTACAAACACCTAGACTCCAATTTAAGCTGTGGCGGATGTGGTGTTTGAATGAACTGATGATACCTTTGTACTTGTTGATTGCACGATTTCGAATTCCAAATACAATACATTCGTTTGTGCTTGTGTCGTAGTTCTTGATTCAATTGTGTTAATTCTGGGATTCCTAGTTCATACTACAATTCAAATAATTCAAATATTATAGAAAGTCACATCATTGTCTACACTGCCTCATCCTATCATAATCATCGCCAATATTTGATGGGGAATGCACTTAGGTTGAAGATAGAACGAAATATTCAATACGAATAAAAGTGATAAGTTGCACAAGAATGATCACACCTGCGAGACTGAGACATGCCATTCGACTGATTAAATTAATTCTCTTTACCTTCTCCATTGTTGGGTTTTTCTCCACGTCGAATGTTGAATATCTATTTTCCAAGTCGTCTCGTGTTTAGCTTTGGGGATTGTTTGGTTTGGGCTCAATCCCACTGGAAGCGTAAACAGAGGTGTCATGTCGCGTAACTTGTCAGGTGCCCGGCGATCGGATGACATTCGTTTGTAGAGGCAAATCACTACACAGAATAAATAATTCTGCAAGACTTTGACATCACTGCTGACATCGGTAGTTTTCCCGGAGAGACCGTAGATGAAGGCGCTCAGTTATATATCCTTTGCAAAAGTTAACCAGCTAAGACCAAACGCCTCTCCAAATATCGATAATCTTACATATATGTTATTGAACGACTCGATTTATGGCTTCTTATTTGACTATGTTCACACACTTCGAATATAAGGGTGTAACATGTAAAGGAGTTATCAAACTTTGAATATTTGTGGAATCTTCATTTTAAACAACACGTCAAAATGCGACCCGTTAGTGATGCTTAACTGAACACATTCAGCTAGTGACGTTCCATAAATCTAGCACAGTTATTGTCGTTATTTATTTTGGGAAATAGTTAACGCAACACAATGTGTCAAGATATTGATTAGTTTAATATTCTTTAATTTCAGAATATCTGATCTTTTCACAAAATACGCACGGTGTGTTATTGATATATGAGACAAAGATGTCACAGCATGCATAAATCGAAGATAAATAAACAAGATAAAGGAATGATTTTAAAGGGGAAGAATGTATTTGCATCTGGATGTTGTGTTATTTTAATGTTCCAGTTATTTGTTTAACATATTCAGATAAGACAACTGATTAGAACTGTTGAGTGTAATTGCTGTTATTCAGATAATACGAGATAGATAAAATAAAATTACACAGCATATCTGATAGAATAGTATTACGGGGTGATTTCAACTCATTGGTGTCAGGGATATACAGGTGGTCATTAGAAGCAAATCCTAACAAGAGTGTGGCGATGGAACTAAATAACTATAATCATTCGTATCACTACACAATATATGGATTCGTGCTACCCAAAGTAAGAAACTATAAAAATTTAGGAATCATACTAAGCAACAATCTCAAAACTACCAGTCACTGTAGGGCTGATGCTACAAAAGAGCATGGAGTATTATGGTCTATTCGTAGGTCTTCCCAGTATTGGGATGAAGCAATGTATAGATTATTATACACGTCTTTTCGTGCGATCACATTGGGAATATGGGATTCAAGCAGCGGGCCCTTGTTTCAAGTATGAGGCGGATATGCTGGAACGAGTCTAATGACGAGGGACTAAGCTGGTATAAGGTATATCTGGCCTATCTTATGAAGACAGACTGAAACATCTTAACATATTTCCGTTATCTTACCGTAGAGTACGAGGTGACCTGATATTGGCTTACCGTAAACTAAACGATGACCTTGTTATCAACGGGTCTTATCTTTTCCTTCCGTCTAGGACTGATCATTTGAAAGGACATTCGAAGGTAATCCATAAACCGAGATCAAAACGTCGACGCCTGGAGTTTCGTTTCTCTCACCGATTAGTGAATTACTGGCATTCTCAACCAGAACACGTAATATCAGCACCTTCTGTTGATATATTCAAAACGAGATTGGGCCTCTACAGCTTCCAATCAATCGGTGACAGTCCAAGTGTTTGACACTAGGTATTAACTTGGTGAATTTCTAGCGATACCATTTTGTGTCTATGAACCAACGTCGGATTCGTGGGCATGTTTTTATTTGAGAAACGAAGACTTTGTTTTTCTACTTACATTTGTAGGACACATTTTTCGGAGGACGCGTTGACATATTCAGTTTGTCTACGTGATGGGTTTGTCGAAGCTTAGTATCTCAGATGTTGACCTTAAAGGGAAACGTGTTCTTATTCGGTAAGAATGATTTTAGCTGATTAACGTTGAGTGCTTTATAGGGTTGATTTCAACGTCCCTATGAAAGATGGGAAAGTTACTAACACTCAAAGGTAATAGTCAGAGATTAAAGTTACTTTGTACCATTTTAGAATAGCAGCTGCCATACCAACTATTAAATATGCTTTGGATAAGGGGGCTAAGAGTGTCGTCCTAATGTCCCATTTAGGTCGGCCAGATGGGAACAAAGTCGATAAGTATTCTCTAAAGCCTGTGTGCCCTGAAGTGTCAAAGTTGTTAGGCAAAGAAGTTACCTTCCTCAGTGATTGTGTTGGACCTGATGTAGTTAATGCGTGTGCTAACCCTGCTCCTGGAAGTGTTTTTTTGTTAGAAAATCTACGCTTTCACGTTGAAGAGGAAGGAAAAGGTGTCTCACCGACCGGCGAAAAAGTTAGTCCTGTCTTTCATTTTTTTATAGTGTTCGGATTACTATAGAGTGTCACAAGTCACCGCCACAAACTAGGGCTAATCAGCTAGGAACGCTCCCATCTTTGTAATTCCTAAATGTTCAGTACCAAAACAACCAACTGGTAGGATTCTCTTTGTAATATTATGAAGAGTTCCGTATGAGCATCGTTTGTTTTCGTACTGCCACCAAAGTTTTTTCTGGGACTATCAATGATTGAAGCGCTATATTGGTTCTAAAGCTATTTCAATGGAACTATAATTTATAGACGAATCAATCAGATTCCCGTTAGTATATTACGGATTTAGGCTTGATTTTCATCCATCCTTATTTCTAGGCAGCATTCTGACACCATAGCTAATGTCAATTCGTAATAAAAATCCTTACTCTTATAGTCCTAGCGTCTAGTTGTAAATCCTAATTCCTTATGCTAATTTATTGCTCATTTAGTAAGTAGGTGGATGTTCTCAGGGTCAACTATGCGACGCTCAGATGTCTTTAAATTACAGACTCACCGTTATTCCATGTCATATCATCTCTTATATATTGTCAAAATAGAAAGACAAAATTAAGATGCAGATCTAATATTACATATTTCATATGATGTAAATATACTATTCTGTCGAATTATTCAGCTATTTTATGGATATCTGCAAGATTCGTAAATTTTCTAAGCAGATCATATGGACGTATTGTCTACTTCTTGAGAATAACTCCAATTAGTAATACTTCCGGGCACCATATATTTGCTTAACGTTAACTAGTATCTACGGGATTTAATGCAGTGAAGTAATAATTCAGTAGATTAGCTTTCTGCCTTTAATGATCCTTAACTTAAGACTTGCAAGTGGATTTCGTGTACAATCCATAAACACTATTACTCGTTATTATAAACTCCATATTCTATTTTTTGACAGACAAAAGCCACTGCTGATCAAATCAAGGCTTTCAGTGAAAGTCTGACAAAACTTGGTGATGTTTACGTCAACGATGCCTTTGGTACGGCACATAGAGCTCATGCGTGAGTTAGGCTTGCATATCTTTTTGTATGAATCTTTTTTAGTAATGAGATCATCTTTAGAGTTAGTCGGGCTCGAGAAGCTAGTGATTTTATAAACATGCAACGAATAGGACGACCAAAAAGCCTATTAAACGTGTTCAACACTGTATAAATTAATGCGCAACGCTCAATTGAGTTGTATATCGTCAGCCTCCTACAAGTCAGTCAGAAAGATTACTCAATTTCAGTATAAACAATTATTCCATTTGGCTTAAGGGAATAAATCAAAATCAAGAAGATATGTATTATGAGCACTTTTATTACGACCCAGCTACTCTTATTGCTTAGTGTTCCTGACACCACTTCACCCGACATGTCTCCAGAGCACAACACAGTTGGAGAGAAACGTAGTTGTATTCTAAATAGCAAGATAGAATGAGAACAAGAATCACAATAAGGAAAACAGCATATTTACGATTATTCACTAGAAACTTTTAGTCTTCCCCAAGTATACGCTAACACTGACTGCGAAATAGCTGTGCATCGCCCTAAGTTGTTATACCTCACATCAACAGAGTAGATCATGATTAGAAACAAATGGAAAGAAATAACACCTATGAACCATATTGTTTGTTGTTTTATTTTACAAATATAATTTTTCAGGAACTCATACATTAGTATGTAGAAAAAAAACTTCAGCTTAGTCTATGACTTAATAAATGTGAAACATGGCCATTGAGGGTAGAGGTTATTCATAGGTTACTGGTATTCGATCATAGGTATCTATGAAGCATTGCTCGTGCATTTTAGGACCATGGAGTAAGCCATGACTGGGTTGTGGATAGAGTACCATGTAAGGATTTAAAATCGATCGGTGAGGTATTAAATCTTCACCAACTGAGGTGGTTGGTGTTGTGACTTTAAATTCGGCTAGTTATCACGTGATCTATTCGCCAATCGAAATACGACCTATACAATCTTAGCACTGTGTCTAACCAATGACGTTCGACTTGTATTAATAGCCTAGCGTCCTTTGTTCACCTAGCCCGTCCAGGTGAGTCCAGAACACAGATACCAGCTTCCACTATGCGAATCATTTATTTCAAACATACTCGGCTTATATACTTGTTATAATCTCTTTTTTACGGTTATGACCCAGCTATTCCTATTGCTTAGTATTCTTGGACACTAAATTACTCGACAAGACCCCAAATCAGAACATGGTTGAACAGAAAAGAGATTATATTCCAAATAACAAGGTTAGATGGAAGCAAGATGCAAGCCAGAAGCACAATAGGGAAAACGTCAGTATATTTATAGTTTTTTACATAAGAAGATTCCAGAGTATTCTCCAACTATCGACTAGTGCTGATTGGATAAGAATTAGCCAGTCAGCGTGCACCAAAGCAATCATGCATTGAGCATGCTTTAATCTAGTCTATGTTCCGCTAACAATACTAGTCAGACGGACAACATCACACCATAAAATAGGAAATAACATCTATACAAGATTAAGCCAAAAAGTGGCTATGAACGTAGGAGACTGTAATCAATAAACTAAGTATAATTCGAGAACAGTAAATATAGATATACATAACCTAGTTACTGAACAGTTATACAATAGGCATATATATATCAGTCCATTAATAGTTCGCAGAAGTTACCCGTAATTTAATCTTCACTATAATATAACCGTTGGCGTGAGAGTAAGTTTGGATGAACTCCAAGGGAGGCCAAACCAAAACATGTCATCAGTCCACGAAGTCTGTGACAGTTGTACTTAGCCATGTTGTTAGGCGCAGATTATCTGGTTAGGGTCCGCGTGATTATCGTAACCGATGAACGTTGAATGATATGGCTTAAGATCGTTTGTAATTGCGCAGGTGAACCTGTTCTTTGTCTTCCCTGAAGTTCTAAATTCCTCACAACTATTTTGTTTTCATTTTATTAGTTTATACTTTCTTTTCGAGTTGTATCTTTGATGCCTAATCTTTCCTATTATTACTGAAACTTTTACTGCCTCTACTATTCTGGAATTTGGCCTGACAACTCGATGTGTTCATGGGGCATAGCAACTTGGACCGATGTACATGCATACAGGTTCTGACGGACCGACTATCACCTTTCCAACTAAAAATCAAACACATAATAATGTTTCTGGTTCTGAATATAATCATTCAAGACAATATCATTCTACATTTTCCACTGTTTTCGTTATAATTCAATATTGGATCATTTTAATGTTAGGTTACTAAATTACTTAACAGGTATAGATTCGTCTACTTTGAGCCACATTGTGCGATAACCAGTGATACCAGCTTGTTCCCCAAACCGGAGTAGGTGAGATCCACACCTGCGTTTTTATGACCAGAAGTCGATGGCCTTAACCACTCAGCCACAGCTTCACATTCTTTGGATGAGTTTTTTGTATAGTTTATCCTGGTTTTACGTAACTCAACCATTTCTTCGTCATTTTGCTTTATAGTTCTATGGTCGGCTGCCAACTGCCACAAAAAGCCTGTGGATTTCTCATGAATAAAGAACTGACATATTTCGCCAGGGCTTTGGAAAATCCAGAACGTCCTTTCCTAGCTATTTTGGGAGGGTAAGGATTTTGTTGATTTGCTGCATATATGTCCAATATATTAGTATATTTTTCAGGTTTCAAACCAAATTTAAGCTGTTATATATAGTTAAAGTGATTCCTTTCTTTTGTCTAGTGCCAAGGTTAGCGACAAGATCCAGTTGATCAATAATATGCTTGACAAAGTTAATGAATTGATCATCGGTGGTGGGATGGCATATACATTTCTTAAGCAAATACACAACATACATGTAGGTCACCGTATATTTTTGTATTTGTATCTAGACGTTTGTATTATATATTCGCATTAGTAACAGTACCCGGAGTAAATTTTCCACTTTTCTATCTTCACAGTAAAGGTTGTAAGAGGTAAATAAAGCAGTCTTGACGGGCGCACTATGTCTTAGTGGTTTCTCATAAGGGCTACGACTTTAACGTTTTGTTTATAAGAAAACTGCCTCTTTCTACCGATACTCTTTTTCAGTATCATCTGTAGGCTCTATCGAATTTTCCTTCTATTAACTTCTACACAGTGACCCGCGGACGAACAAAATAGGGCTCGATGCAAGAGAAGACAAAAATAACATATGGAGACGTACTTAAACCCATCATGTCTCAGTACACTTATATGTAACTTCAAATTAACAGCTAAGCTTGAAGAACTATAATTTGTCTGGTGACTGACTAATCCTTAAGTAAAATTTTAGTTGTGTAGTCTTATTTCGTTGATTCAGTTATCCCGTTCTTCAAACAAATCCCCCCTCCATCTGTGCAGACGTTAGTGTTTATTGCCTAGTTAAATTTAACTGTATGATTTTAGTTTGCATTAATCGGCTCTAACTCTATTGTAATCAACCGAGATTATTATGTTGTTATTTATTTATTTATTTATTTATTTGAACACATAAATATTGGTACAAGAGGGCACCAAATTTATATGCGCCACACAAAACAAAGAGAATTTAAAGACAAGGAAAAAAAGGTAAGGAGCATGAAAGAAAAAGAGAACAGTAACGAACAGATTGATGTAAGGTAGTGTAATAATAATAGTAATAATGGGGGAACGGAAAGGTACAGTCAAAAGAAATCTTTCAGTTAAGGAAGTAGCAACCACTGACTTCTGTTCTGAGCCATATCTGATAACGTCTCTATCCACTGTGTAGCACCATCTCTCGGACCCCAGCCAGGGAGTCGTGAAGAACCAACACAAGCCAGTCTTTTGCAGCTTTCTTTCATGCCACGACACCATGTCATGCACTGACCACCTCTCCGCTTTTTCCAACCAGTCCCAGAGTCGGCAAATAATCCACGACGTGGAATTCTCTGGGACGACATTCGTAGAACATGTCCAAGCCACCGAAGTCGGTGTTTCAAGATGGTGACACCAATTGCATTATCGTCTCTGTTCCCGAACACACGATGCTAAACCTCTGCATTACTGACATGGTGTTGCCACTGGATGTCAGCAATCTTTCGGAGACAGCAATGATCAAACACAGAGAGTCGTCTAACGTCCTCAACTCGGAGAGGCCAGGTTTCACAAGCATAGAGCATAACTGCTCTCACCGACGCGTTGTAGATCCGACCTTTTACAGCCAGACTGACATCACGAAGGCGTCAAAGGTGGCCCAGATTGGCATAAGCCGCTCTGGCTTTCACTATACGTGCATTGATCTCATCACTCACGCCACCACCAGCACTTATGCAGCTACCCAGATACACGAACTTGTCGACTACTTCTATCTGCTCACCATCCAGGGTGAGTACAGGATTAGGATCCTGCCAGTCTTGTAGACGTACTTTGCACTTCGAAGGTGCAGATCCACACCGCCATTACCTACATCCATCAGAGCTGTTTCCAGAATGTCATCGATGGCAAAGTTGAAGAGGAATGGTGAGATTGTGCAACCCTGCCTAACCCCACTGCTCGGATGGAACAATGGAGAGAGGTGGTTGTATGCCTGAGGTGTTTGTGTATAGGGCTTTTAGGATGTTAATAAACTTCTCAGGCACACCCTTCTTCAATAGACAATCCTAGAGAACAGTTCTGTCCAACGAATCGAAGGCAGCCCTTATGTCAAGAAACACTACGATTGTTGGCCTTTGACAAGTATGGCGGTGTTCTAACATTTGGCGAAGGGTGAAGATATGATCAATACATCCTCGACCAGAACGAAATACAGCCTGCTCCTCGCGAGTCAATCTTTCTCGGGTTTTGAACAACCTACGAAGTATGACGGAAGCCAATAGCTTGGACGCAATTGGAAGTAGACTTATCCCCCGATAGTTGTTACAGGAACGACGTGAACGCTTTTTAAAGATAGGGACAACTATCGACTCATTCCATGACGTTGGTACACTCTTTAGTTCCCAGACCTTTGTAAACAACGTCGTCAGTTCCTTAGCCAGAAAGTCACCACCATCTTTAAAAAGAGGCGGAGGTAAGTCATCTGGGCCAGGTGATTTGTAGCGCTTTAAGAGTTGGAGTTCCTTGCGGACTTCCTCCTCATTTGGTGTATCAGTCGTCACCGGCCATAGAGGGCAGGACAGTCTGACCGATGTTGCCGGAGCAACAGGCCAGTTGGACTGCCCATCGTCCAAGACGTCGATGGATGTTAGTGATTGGCATCCCATCATCCTCGTAGATTGTTTCGCTTACACCAGACTTCTTGCTGCCAGTTGCTCGGGTGGGTTGGAAGAGCTTCCGGTAGTTACCAGATGCAGCTTCTGCCTCCAGCTCATTAGCACGCTCCGACCACCAGGCTTCTCGGTCCTTACGCAAGCTTTGCTCGATTTCATTACGTAACAGTCGTCGTTTGTGGTCAAACTCACGGTTACCCGGAGTAGACCAACGGGCTTCGATGAGTTGTACGGAGTCTGAAGAAACCCAGTGCTTGTAAGCGGGACGTTTTGCGAACCCACAACTGAATCTACTCGCCATTTTGATGGTGTCATGCAATCGCAACCAATGCTCATCTATACATTTCGGTGGGATGGTAGCTAGGCTAGAAGCTAGCTCTGTTTGATACTTTCTAGCAACAGAAGTTGCAACCAACTTGCTAACATCAACCCTTTGGTGAAGGTCACTTCGTTGGCCACTGAAAAGAAAGGTAAGATAAGCTCAGACCAAGGCATGATCGGAGTCTAGATAGGTACTCCAAAAAGAGAGGCAGTCCTGTACACAACCGTGCCAGCGGTAACTGATCGCGATGGGAACAACCTGAGTCCAGGCTTGAGATGCAGAGGGAGGACGCCAGGTGGCACATCGGCGATGGCTGTACCGGAAGTTAGTGCTAGTCAAAAGTAGGTTGTGGTCTGTGCACAGTTTCATTAGACGGTCCTCGTTATCTGTCCTGTGACCAACAAGTCCCAATCGGCCACCTAAACAACTCTTCTGTATCTAGACGCCCGACCTGAGCATTCAAGTCTCCGGCTAGTACTACAATATCTGTCGAACAGTTGACTGGTGGTAGAATTCATCCTTGATTGCATCCGGGCTGCAATCTATCGAGGCATAGGTGGAGATGACGGAAAGATCGTTTCTCACGCCGATTTCTTCTCACTTTGATGGAACTCTCTAATCTAACAGCACACAACCGACTGTTAATGGGGATTCTATCGATTAGTGCTGCCTCAGCTCTAGCGCTTAGTGCGACACCAACGCCAGCAAAACCAGACGAAGATGCCACAGGGTCCCCGGATAAACGTACGTAAAACAAGCTTTTCGAAGCGACATATGGAGAGCGAATTTGTAGTACTTCGCCAGAGTCTTGAATACGGATCTCGGATAGACAACAAACGTCGATATTAAGACTTTCCAAAGACATAGCCAGCCCTATCTGTTGTTCGAGCTGCATAAATGTGCGAACGTTGAAGGCAACCAGCTTGAATGGTGCACGTGGTTTCAGAAAAACTGCTCCAGTATTCGTATTAGGTGGTAGCATACAATTTTCAACCAGGCAGTGACTTGAGAACGTTTAGATAGAACCAAGTTTCCACCACAGGCGAGCTGCTGTATAAGTCAAAAAATAAGGATACATAAAGTGGGAATAAAAGAGAGTGAATAAATGACGTAGTAAGTAATAATAATAATGTGAATTGGTTGACTGTAAATCGAAGCGAGAATAGAGTCTTCAGTAAATACCATCATTATCATTATTTTTGTACGTGGGCTGTGATACTTCCCGGGTGCCCAGACCGAAGCAGGTTGTTTTCTTAGGAGGTCACACCTCGAGCCTTTGACCTAAAAGTCTAGCCCACAAGGCAGTGGAGCATCGTGAGGAGGTGCAGTCCTATGGTAGCCGGTGACCAAGATTGGTTCCAACGCCATTTGTTCCCTCAGGATACTAGAGCCCATGTGCACCATTGGTTTGGGATCTGGTTAAAACTCCGGATATTCGCTTTTCGTCCTCTCATTTTCGTAAACAACACCCCCGCCACGAGAAGGCAGTGAATAGGACTTCCCTGGCATAAATAGGATTTATTGGTTTCTCGTGTGATTTTAAAGTGACGAACTCTTTCTATGTATTTGCGGATTTCATTTTGAACAGATAAGTCTACTCAATATACATCTTTGTTAAATTATCTAGTATTCTGTGTATCATAATATTGTTAAGCTATTTCACCATAGTAAATTCAAATAATCTTTTAGTCACATCGATTATGAAATTTTTTCAAATCTTGAATATGCTATGCACTCAATGCTCACGTCTCACCTCTAGAATGTACGTAAGTAAAATGTTTATTTGTCTTTTCTTATTTTCAGATAGGAAATAGTTTATTTGATGCACCGGGTGCAGAAATCGTCCACAAAGTAATGGAAACTGCAAAGGCTAAAAATGTTGCAATTCACTTACCTGTTGACTTTGTAACTGCTGATAAATTTGCTGACGATGCGAACACTGAAGTAAGAACTATACAATCAGGAATTGCCGATGGTTGGATGGTGAGTTAAACTTTTATTCATAACAGAAGTGAATAACAAATGTGTTTGTCAGTAATTTTTTATTATTTTGTGTATCAACTTTAAACATAGACATCTAGCCTTCCAATTCAATCAGAAGAAAATTTACTTAATAGTAAGGTAACTTTTCTTTACAATAGCCTCCAAATACTCTGGACGGTCGAGGATGGGAAGAGTCCGCTATCCTTCTCATGGTCACCCGTATATAGCCGCTTCCAAGGAAGTGCTAACTGCATTTTCACGGCGAGGTTTTTGTTTACGGAATTGAATGAACAGGGAGCAAATGTTCGGCGCTTTTGTCGAGTTGGTGGATACTGAAAATCCACCTAGGGGAGTAGCTAGGAAACCATGATTACAAACTCATGGGACATATTATCTCCAGTATACTGAGGGAATAAATGACGTATAAACCTATTGTTAGTCACGCGTTACCACGGGACAACATCTCCTAACGTTGCTCCACTGCCTTGTGGATTAGACATCTATGTCGAGCTCGTAAAGTGGCCTCCTAGGAAAACCAAATCCGGACAGGATTCCAGCCCACACAAATTGAATGATAACTACTTTATGTGGCGCACATAAATTTTGGCACCGCTTTGTAGCAATCCTTGTGTTTAAATAAATAAAATAAGCATCATTTAGAGAGATATTGTGAATGAAAAAGCGCTAAACAAGTATATCTTTAGTTTTGGAAAGAAGTATGGATAACTAATGGCACTAAGGGTTCGCAAAGGAAACTCTGAGCTATTCACTCCGGAAATTACTATATTCACTCTTTTACATCAAGAAATTTTTAAGTATATAAAGATGATCCTTCCTTTTTCATGTGTTCGAGTGCATTGTATGCATAAAAACTCAGTTTACAAAAATAAAGTTGTCGGTAAAGGAATCCTCATTAGTGAAATCTGTTACAATAGATTAAATGTTTTCACTAGGTGCATAGTATTTGTTTTGTTGTACGGCGTGCTTTACCCCATAAAAATCCAGTAAATCACTAAATCAAGATTAATATGTTTACGTTAAGAATACGCTTCCTATATTATCTAATGTTGAACACCTTTGGATAACATCTAACCGCTAGTTCCCTTGCACTGGATTTTTATTAATTTCATAAGGGATTAGATATTGGTCCGAAAACAATTGAAGAATTCAGTAAGGTGATTAGTCGTGCCAAAACTATTGTTTGGAACGGGCCGATGGGCGTTTTCGAAATGGACAAGTTTGCAAGAGGAACGAAAGCAGCAATGGATGAAGTGGTCAAAGCTACTAAGAATGGTGCTACAACTATTATTGGTAAGTTGTATTTATCCGATTCCATTATCCTCGTTGAACTAATACACTGCTTTTAATGAGTTATTTTCATTTCCAAAGTAGTAAGGTATAAACCATAATCAAGATTGCAGGCAGTATTACAAAGTTATGTTTTAATATCCAGTAAATTTGAAAAAAGTTATCCTTTTGCATATGGAGTCCTTATTTTCATTTGTTTCTGTTTAAAAATCTGTTTTAATATTTTCTCCAATATTTCTGTAGGTGGTGGTGACACCGCAACATGCTGCGCCAAATGGGACACAGAAGATAAAGTTAGTCATGTCAGTACTGGTGGTGGTGCTAGTCTTGAACTTCTCGAAGGTAGGAATGGCTTCAGTCCAATTACTTGCATTTAATTTCTGTATGACGGTATGATCGGCACGTTTATGTTGTATTTGACATTGATTTCTCTAATCTGGAGCCCAATCTACCAGCTAGTACTTTTCCTGCGTAGCAGATAGACTGCCTTAAAAATAAATTTGGTTGTATTATATATACTGCAGCTATGGAGTACAAGTTATACTTAAATTGTTTTAATTCAAAAATTTATGTATTCAAGTAATCCAGTTTCACAGAGAAGAATGTTTAAGCGGAACGTTTTCATTAACTTAAGATACAGATTTCACAACCATGAATCCTTAAATATTATGTTATCGTTGTGAGAGGTGGTTTAGTGCTTAATGATTTTGAATTTCAACCAATAGTTCCTATGTTTAAGCCCCATTCTGTTTTGGCATTCGGGTAATGTCACGTGCCTTAACACCAGGAGTATTATTATTGTTGTGAATACAGTAGCCGGTATAAGTCAGGCTTATAAGTAGTCAGTTTAGCGCACTGAAAATAATGGCTTTGACGTTGATTCTGGCTTTTTATGTCACTGGTACAGTTGACAAGTCCTGTATTAATGTCTCGAAAAACTCTTATAATAAGTTGATATCAGCAATGTTGAATCCTGGGGGATTTAGCACACAATGTGTTGCATGGTTATTATAATCATAGCAGTAATGACCACAGTAATATATTAATAGATTTAATACTGCATATACTGAATATAATTTTATTGGAAACAAATATTCATTTTTTACCATTCACTTAGTTAGATGTGTTTGTTTTCATCAAAGCAACTGTAATTTCACACCACATAACTGACTTCAAAAAGTCGTAAATCAAGATGCATTAGATATCCGTTTCGTCCCAGCATGGGACTCCTTAGCAGTGCATATCTTCGATTCCACCGGGGGCTGAACTCACGGTATACGTTAAATGTTTTGTCTTCTTTATTATAAATATGTTCTTGTTTTTCTGTTTCAGGTAAACAATTACCCGGAGTTGTTGCACTTACGGATGCTCACTAATGTGTTTGGTCATAATATCCCTTAACTTCATAATTAATTATAATTAGTGTTCTTACCTTCGAATTTTCACACTTGTTCTCAGTTCTATGATTACTTGGTATTGTTATACATGTGTTCTTGATTTGATGGATATTTTTTCTGTTTCATTTCTGTACGTGTAGGTGTATTTCTCCCATATGCGCATTTGCTACCAATAGAAATTTCCGGTAATTGTTTTTTTCCACATATGTGCGTAGCCATTGCCCATTATTTCTGAATATGTCAGAATAATTATTCACATCTTCAAGTGGTATATTCAAAAGGTGCTGTTGGCATTTGATTGTAACATCATTCATGAACGAAACTTTTATCATATGTTTAGTATCAATAATGTTATTACGTTATCTGTCAGATTCATCGCAATTATCAAATCTCCGATTAAATGTTTGTAAAAATACAGGAAAAGGCAAAGTAGATCTTCCAAAATGTCCAAGACATTGATTTCCTCGTTATAGTTAAGCGTGTCGTACATTATGTGAACGTAAGCATGATATCGTAAAAAAGTAGTTATAGAGACTCTGATGCAACGGAGATCAAAGAAATCCCGTAACTATGGCTGATTATCCTGCTTCTTTCAAAGTGTTTCCGTATGACTAAGCTAAAACTAATAACTGTCGATGGAACATTAGGTTGTCTGACCAGAATCCCTGGGATGATCAAAATTAATGGTTAAATATTTAAAGTAAAACATCTGAGTGTTGTTGCTAATTGACTAATTGATACTGATTGTTTTGATAACCGGTTTTCTCAAATTAGGATCATAAAACAAATGATAACGCTAATTTGTCGACATCTATCTTCATTAAACCACGACTATCTGTCTTTCTACAATTGTTGACTACGCTATTTTTAATCTTCAATTTTATGGTATGGCATTTATATACAGCGATCAGTGCAAAGTGGAAAGTACTACAGATTATGCCATTTAGTGCTTAACGATTGTTTGAACTGGTCATAGTGTTAAGGGGGTGATAAAACGTTTTAGGTGTCATCTTTACTTTCTTTTAAGTGACATAAAATAATTACTCTTTGTCTAATAGGTAAGTGATTAATAATTAATCATTCCGGCTTCAATTTTCCGAACATGAGCGATAAATTTGTCGTGACTACAAAACTTACTATAATCCCTTTTGAGTTGGAAACACAGTATGGGAAAATGTTTAATTTACTGATTGGTTGATCAACGAGATTGATCTTCATGGGTAGTTTGCAACTTTATCGACTTTAAAAACCAACTGGTTTAAAATAACGATAAAATTAACTAGTCAGTCCTGACGATGAAACTAGAGATGAGTGATCAGCCCATTAGTGAGTATTGTGATTGGATCCATTCGATCGTGGCTATATGTACCGTTAAATGCTTCATCATTCGTGCTATTCGGGTTTGGTAGATGTAATAGACCAATTAGATCTAATTATTATAGATTTATAACGGGATGCACTGACAAACTAGAAGCTATATGCTAACCAAGGGGTAGCTTGTTTCCTGGTAACCAACTAAACAAGATGGTCTTTATTTTTTCAGCATTTGTCTGTACTCGTAATAAGCTTGCTGTGGAGTGGCAAGACAATTTGTTAGGAAAATAAGTGACGTGCTTGGATCATTACAGCGTTATCATTATATTTTCACTCCACTATATGCCAAAATTCGCAATGTACCAAGTAGAGGTACGTTTATAAGACGTTGAGTATTTATGGATAACACATCCAATGACCGATGTGTTAAGACTGCAACCTGTTGATTAATGATCGGACACTCAGAATCATGGTAAATGTTTGAGGTATCGTCATCGAGCTTTCCAAGCTGAGATTGTGAAGCTGGCCACATATATATTGTTCTCTGCTAGAAAGTTGGAAATATATCCGGTTTTCGCATCTTTACTAGCAAACTTACGTGATTTCAGAGGTTTTAAAACAATTAAAGATATGTAGTCTAGAAGGTAAACCGAAGACACTCAGTGTTCTTACCAAGTTGCAAATCATGTTATGATAACTGCAACATCGAAGGTATGTGCACTCCACTGATTAAACTAAGCAGTTAGTGTCGGTTATTTGCACTTGGGATTGTGACGTTTTGTCACTCGGAGTGGGATTTTCACTTGTTTAATTTTCTGCAATTTTAGATTTGATCATACGGTTTAATTTATTAAGATTTGATGAATTCAGAAGTAAGAATGTTTTTATGAAATCACTTGAAATATATGAAGTTTACCAGTGGATACATTTAAGATTTTCGAAATACTCTATCTCCAATAAGTTTAAACAACGTTACTACTAAATAAGTCTGCACCATATGAGCCAGTGAATATCTATTTGAACAGTTCGAAGAAATTGTGCTTAAATAGGAATTTTATTATACAAAAGGAAACACTCACTATTCAAAATACAAGTTTCCCTTGATACGCTATTCATTTTAACAGACAATATTAATATAGTTGTAATTATTAATTGATAATATGAAGGTAAAATAACACCAGTGATATAAGAGGATATTGAATGGATTATTGGGAAAAATGTTACTTAAGATTTACAAGTATGTAATTAGTTGGTAATAGTGTCTTATTAATAAAGACCGGGAATATAATCAAGTGTAATGTTTATATTCTATATGTGAATATACTATTATCATCAGAATTATTATTAGTTGAAGTATTATGTTTCTGAGTGTTATTTCGAACTATAAATACTTATTGTGTAGTGATGTGAAAGTACTTTATATGCATTGTGTATTTTAAAAATATGAAAACGTATAAAAATCAGCGTTCCGCGTTTAATTGACTAAAAAAAAGTCAATGGTAGGATTTTGAAAATGTATAAACTTGTGTCTGTGTGCGTGTGAAATCAATGATTGATGCGATCGTCTTCGTTAATGTTAAAATAGAACATAAACAGTATAGATTGAATGGTCTGATATATTGCCGATACGTGATTAGATTAAATAACTGACCGATAAATCCAATAAATTTTGTATTAACTAAATATAATTATTATGTCAATACATTATTATAAGTACGTAGTTAGTAGTAATAAGTGTTTTAAAAATAATAAAATTAGAGATAGATTATTCATGTATAATGAAGAGACAGAGATTGTGAAATAATAGATTATTAACTGATTCTCTACATCAAGTCCAATTATTAAGTATTAACAATAATTCATATCTTACTCATTTTGTTTATCATCTTAAACAGAACATTATTACTAACATTTTTTATGTAAGCACAAATATATTGAGGTAGTTTATTATATAGCAAAAAATAATAACAAATGCATTTGTTTCTTTGCTTTTAAAATATATATTTAGACGGTGACCATTTGTATTAAACGGTCATAATGCTTTGATTAATTTGAATTTATTGTTGTACAATAATCATTCTCTATTTGCTATTCAATCACATTGAACACAAGTACATTTTTTTGCTAATTTTATTGTTCGTTCATAAACAGCACCATTAGGACAATTAAATAATATTGGACGTAATTTAATTTTTGTAGCTTGACAACAGTGTTGTTTTGTCATTGATGGAGTAGTCTTATAAGAATTAAGATGTACTAAGTAAGGAGAGTTTGATTCTTTCATTTTTATCATATGTGATTGTTTATTTATTAAATTCTGTGGTAACCAAACACGTCCAGAATTAGTTGATCGTTTATGAACTGCTTTCCATTTATGATATTTTAAGGATTCATAATCATTTGAAATATCATTCTCACTACTGAATAATTCTTGTTGTTGTTGTTGTTGTTGGAATTTTATGATAGTTGAATCACAAGAACCAGAACACTTACGTATTGATAGTTTTCTTGATGAAATACAATTAGTTTGAGGATCACGAATATATGAACGCTGGGTTTCACGATGACAAACAGGTACTAAAATATTTAAAAGGAAAAAAATTGACTTTGTGATCTAATTTTAAACAACTAGGAGTTTTTATTAGTGCATATGGTTATAATAGTTCAGTGGACTTATCATGAGAGGATAGTGAAATTTTGCGAATTTCTTCACTTGCTCGTTTACGAGGTATAGATTCACGTATCTAGGTTTGAGCCGCACTAAATGTTAGGACCATTGTTACTAACCGTTTTTCGTAACCGAAGTGAATGAACTCGAGTTCCCACCTGCGACTTTGCGGCTCACAGTCAAGACTCTTAATCAACGAGCCACTCCGTAATTCATTAGGTACTGTTAAGCTACTCATCCCACTATCTCTTATGAAGCAAAATCTATGAGGATATTTATTATAAGGAACATTTCGTTGATGAATCCTTAAGCTACGATCTATCACCTGTTATGCTTAGATGTAAATGAATTCATAGTTCAGTAGTTTAGGCTCAAACTACCAAAATTAGGCTTCTTTGATTATAATAGTAACGGTATTTTAAGAATTCTAAAAAATTGTCTTTGAATTAACTGAAGAATGAGTAGATGTCTAGATTTAAGATTGGTAGTTTTGTGAAACTTGAGTAATTTTAAGTGAACATTCCATAAAAACTGACAAAGTGCTGGAGTTCATAAATTCTATCAAAACAGAGTTATAGTTTATAATTGGTAAGACGATCGAACAATCGTCAGATAAAGTTTCGAATTGGTTTTACTATTGTCACCACTAGTAGTGATTCATGATGAACATTGTCTTTGAAGTGATTGGTTTTTTCCTCAACAATTTTTCATTGAATAGGAATATATTTTTCTTTTTAAGTTTGTTAATGATCCGAAAAATTCGATAATAATTTTTTCAGGTGTATAACTTACTTTCTAGTTGTTATTGAATACTAACAAGAAAGAAATTCATTGACAGGAGCTAGTGCTAATTGTCCACAAACGTATCATAAGCTTTATTTCGACCTATGAACTGTTATTATGCGACTCACCATTCTTGAGTTATGCCCTGTCTATTAATTACTATCTCCCTTATTCACAGCTACATTTGGCTAAATCTTGTACAAATGTTGCTTTCATATTTTATGGTACGATGTGCTCTGTCTGGTTGGTATATAAATAAATGATTCATATTGCAGAGGCTGAAATTGGTGTTCTAGAATTAACTGGCTGGGCTGGGCTGGGCAGGAAACAGGATCGATAAGTACTCTAGACTGCTCGTACATGTTTTATACGTCATTGGCCCGATAGATAAATTACTGTTCTCTAATTGGCGTTATCATCA